ACATTTTTTTCTGTTCGTGTGAAATTTCTCTCCATATTAGTGTGCGTTTGAGAGCAGTTTGTTTTTGACGCGAAAACCTTGTCTGGCGATTTTTACCATGGCAATTTAACAACAAGTCTGCTTGCAATTTTGTGTTTTCAATAGAATCAACTTGCCTCATGCGAGTCGTTCATCCACTGCTGTTAATGACGATTTAACATCGAAAAAGTTAAAAAAACGGAGCTTGAAAACAGTCGTGTTGACATCTGAGCCGACGTTGAGAGGTCGCAAAAAAAATTTCATCGAATGTATATTTACTGGCGACAAGATGAGGGTTTATGAATTTAATGTCGAAACTCTCCAACAATCCAGCGAATGACGCTCCAAAAACGAGCTGAAACCGAAAAAATTAAAATGCACTGAAGGCACTAAATGTCATCGTAGCCGAGACTTATAACAAGTGTATGGATAATTAAAATGACCGTTTTGGCATGCTGGTATGGGCTCAGGAGCCTATTTTGAAGCCGAACATCTAAAAATGTATGTGAAAAAGTAGGTTTTTTGTGAGTCCGGATGAAATTTGATTAGATGCTCAGACCTTTACACAAAATAAAAAAAAATGATATTTTAAGTTCCTCCACAGTGAATTTAATCCCATGATCTACGAAGTAAAAATCGCACATTCAAAGTTCCATGATGTTTCTTTAAATTTGTTTGCATATATTTCCTACAGGGTCTACATTTTGCCCGCCAGCGAATACGTTTATAATATTTCTACTCTTTCCTACATATTTGTTTATTGCTTAGCAATGATTTATATTATTTTTAGATTTTCGTTCATACGTATTCTCGAATTACACTGTGACAATTATACTGTCCTTCTGACAGTGCAAGCACACTAAGCATGCATATGTGTGTGTGTGTGTGTGCGTGTGACATGTTGACATATTAATCTGACGATGCTGTGTGTAGGTGTGTTATTCGAAAGTCATTGAGCCAAGCAAAATTCGTTAAGCCCCACAACAGTTGGAGTTGGAGTCGCTAATCATCGCCGCACGGCCCGAAAACTCGGCTGAGCGCTGAGCCATGAGCACAAGCGATGCACACATACACATACCTATGTATGTATGTACCTTAATGAGGCGTGCAAATAAAAGCGCGTCACCAACGTCACCGCATCCAAATTATTTATGTATGTATGTATGTGCGTGCGCTGAAGTATGTATGCTGACAACGAGACTGCGCCGTATGTAAATTTGCACGGCTGCTGCGTCTGTCATTCTGTTTTATTTAATTTTTGTTTGTTTGCTGCTGCTTATTTTGGGCTTTTGTTGGCTGTATGTTTAATCTTAGGGGCGGCGGCGCAGTTAAATTTGGTTTAAAGTGATTGCTCTTCTCGCTTTTGTTTTGTGATAAATCGCATATACAAATTTGTATGTATGTCTGTATGTGATTAAGTATACATATGTGTATATCTGTTTGCAAGGAGATAAATGTAGAACGTCAAGTGATTTTCGACAAAAAATGACAAACATTGAAATAAAAAGAAGAACGCGCGGGTGTGGCGGATTAACGAAGGGATGGAGAGAAAACAGAAAACAATATGAAGAATTGCTAACTTCGGCCGCAACGAAGTTCTAATACCCTTCTTAGGTGCATTTTTTATAGCATAAAAAGGCATGAAAAGATATTTATCTTGATTTCAATCGATCAGTTTATATGGTAGCTGTATGTTATAGTGCTCCGATCCGAACAGTATATTCGGAGATTGTAGCGTTGTCTCGGATAATGGCAAATTTTGTGAAGATATCTTGTCAAATAAAAAAAGTTTTCCATACAAGGACTAAAATTTGATCGGTCAGTTTGTATGCAGCTAACGTGAGAAAAGAACATGTGCAAAATCAGATCGATATCTCAAGACCTGAGAGACTAAATCGACTCAGGTTGTCTCACCGCGTCACCCGGTTCCGGGTATAAGATATTTTTATTTTTCATAGTTATGTGAAGTATTTACTTTGTAAGTGTGTATATGTGTACAAGTGTCTTAGAGTTTTAGTAGTGTGCACAGAAAATTAGTTCAAATTAGCATAATGAATTTCCCCTCTCGATATATAAGTAAATACATATGTATGTCTTGTTTAAAATTTAAAGTAAAATGTAGCCGCGTATAAATAAGTATTTTAGCATGTTTATTTTGTTGGCCAAACAATTTCTGCGTTAGTATTTTATTATCAACACTGTAGTTGATTTCTTTTTTTTTCATTTTCTTCATATAAACAATATTTTATTTTATAAAAGCAATTATTTTATTTACATTAACAATATTTGTCTGCTAAAAGACCGCGCAAGCAATATGCGTCAACATAATTTTTTTTGTTTTTAATTATGGCTCAATACTTTTTTTATTCTTATTTTGTTTGTTGTTTTTGTTGGGAAAGTCACGTGTCTCAAATTGAAACACATCTGCTTTATTATGATTAATCACATACACATTAATAAAATACTAATAAATTATTGCGATAATCCGTATTGCATGACCATTAGGCTAGAACATAGAGTCACCACCAACAACAACAAAAAGTTTATTGTCGATCATAAACACCAAAGCTTTATATTAAAATTCATTGAACGTCATTTTTTAACCCACCATTAATACCGGGTGCCCGTAATCCGAGTTTTCTATGCTATATTACATAATGTTGCATGGTAAAATTTTTTTTTGGAAAAGCCATAATGTACAGAATCTTCAATTTTTATTGTTTTGCTACGATATTCTTATAAAAGGCTTTTAGAAGCTTAGACCTTATTTTGAGTTAAAAGGGCAGAAATCTAAAAAAAAAAAATCTAATATTTTAAAAATTTTGATAGTTTAGATATTATAACGGATTTGTCAAAATTCAAACTACTTGTTTTCAAAGTTTGGTGTTAGTGGCAACAAGACTAGTTTAAGTGGACGACGAAACTTAAAGCGCTTTTTTCTCGAAACTGCTTTTTTCGTCTCGATCGTCACGATATTTCAACTTTATGACTTTTTTTATTATTATCGAACCTTATCTCACCAACGACGTGCCAAATGTCCTATGGATTGTTCGTACTCCAAAACTATTTTTCTATGTACTGATTAAACCCAAAAATTAAAATTAAACTCACGTTTTTAAAATCGGTTGAAATCCAAGCCTCTGCAAGGAAACTTGCCTCCGTAAGAGAAAATAAATGTCAAATACAGGTTTACTTTGACAGCTACGCTTCAAGAAAATTCTATATCTCTAAATATATTCTTCATTTTTATATATATTATAAAGTCTCGTACATATATTGTAGACAATACTTAAATATAAATAAAGTCCATATTAGGTATAAATTTTACGCCACAGTAATTCTTAAAAAAGAGTCTTAATCAAAATTTAATTTTTCAAATATATACCAGCAGTCATTAAAGGGTTAAAGCACGCATCCCCATTAAAGACTTTATAAGAATTTAAAATCACTTTTGCTGTCTTGTTACTTTATAACACACAAAAAAAAAAAACAATCACCGGCCAATTTTGGGCGTAAAAAGCATTTACGATTGCACCAAATAAAAGCGAGCCGTTTATTGATTTCGCAATAATTAAATGTTTAATTAATTCAATGATCCCCGAAATATTGTGTCGCAGTGAAATATAAAAGTATAATACACGTTCACATTGCGTCATCTCGCGTTGTGTCGGGAACTAATTTTACTGTGAATTAGAGTGATCTCCAGCGGATTTGAAAAGATAAATCCATAATTAGATTCAAGAGTACTTATCATTAGGGTGTTTTTAATATGAATTTAATACTTTGTTTTTGTTTTGATTTTTTGAAGTTTTGAAATGTTTGGTGAAGTTATGAACTTATGAATAAAAAGCTCATCAAAGATCGATGAAATTAGTGGTGATAATATATTTTTGACCAACTTGAGGTTCTTTTATAGTCAAATTATGCATTCCTGTTCTTACGGTTTCTTCTAACCTAAAATATTACTAAATTAAGTTATATAATATGATATTTGGAAAGGTGTGTGTCTCTACTAAAATTTGCCTAAATGTAGGCAAGGCTTTATCATAAGTAATTTGTTATGTTCGGCGATTGTAGCATAGACCATAATTCATACCAGGAATTGATTTGGATCGAGCAGTTTGTATGGCAGCTATATAGTATAATGATCTCATATCGGCGGTTCCGACCAATAAGCAGCTTCTTGGGGAGAAAAGGATGTTTGGAAAATTTCAAATCGATATCTCAAAAACAGAGGGACTAGTTCGCATATATACAGACATACAGGCGGACATAGCTAAATCCATAATTTGATTGATCTCAGCTCGCCACGCACATCATTTATATATGTTTATATCTCCGATTTTTTTCTTCTAAATGTTACAAACATCGTGGCAAACCTAATATTTGTAAAAAGGTGGCAACTGTGCAGATATGTTTCAAACGATTTTATACCAAATATTAAATTTAAGTTTCAACAAATTTGTTTTCTTGACTGAAAATTGTGATACTTCCGTACATTTACTACAGCCAACAGCCGCAGATAAAACATTATAGCATCGATTGTTTGTGTGGAGAGCGCAATCGATGCGCAAGGTGGCAACCGCACAGTGCATTATGTCATCACGACCGAGTGACTGTCATACGAGCCTTTCGCATAATTCACCAAGCCAACACATGGTCATTAACCACATGAAGCGCGTAATAAAGGTTATGTGGCGCGACGCTTTCACCGCATTCGTTTTTGTTGTTGTTCTACAAGAATGCGAGAATTATTTACTTGACGCTTGTCATTACAACAACCTTGCAAAGTGTTTGTGCACACATAATATGCCTGACAACGAGCAGCAACAGAAAGAAGGAAATATAATTAGCAGGTTTTAAATATAGAACACGTGCCCAGGGAATGCCTGCACTGAACAAATATAAGCGCCTGGCCCAACGCCCTACGCAATGCTTACATGCTAGCTCTATATGGATGCATGTGCTTGCTTGTGACTCACCCATATTTTCGTAAATGTCATCGCTGACATCCCAGCGATCGATGATGCCGAGGTATTGTTGCAACCGTGCAAATGTCGCTGTCTGCGGCCGATGTGAACACCACTCACGCAGCACGGCGCGCATCGGATCATCATTGTTGCTGCTGCAGAAGCTGCGCACTTCAGCCAACTCCGCCACGCCGCGCCAATCCCGCTCATAGCCATCTTCGGAGCGCAAGATCTTGCGGCAATTCAAGAGTTGCGACAATTGTAGGCGTGTATTGGTGCTCAGCTCCTGCAGTGGTGTCTCCACGAACAGGCCGATGTCGGCGCTGTTTACTTCCGCAGCCGGCGAGTCCATTGACGTCGACAGACTGGCATTGTATGTGGAGGAAGTGGTTGACGACACCGAACCGGGTGTGCTAACGCCGACGGAGGAGATGGGCGGCATGCGATTGTTAATATTTGGTATTGAGATGGCCAGGCGTTGTTGTTGCACCATATTTTAGCTGATTTTGTTATAAAATATTTTGAAATTTTTGTTTGTGTTTTTGGTTAATTTGATATTATTGCTTTGGTTTTTGTCAAAAGTTATTGTTGTTGTCGTTGACCGGGTGTACGGTTATCGTTGAGGTGTTTTTGTTTTTTTTTTTGGTGGTGTAGAATACTGCAAGCGAGTTTATTGCCTCGAAGCGTTCAACGAACGTTCACGACAAACATACATACGCACACATACACCTTCTGTAGCGGCGACGTTGACGGCGGCAGCGCAGCGACTGCGGTGGTGACACGTATGACTGCAAGTAAAAGAAGGGAAGAAAATGGCAATCAATCAATTTATTATTTAGGCTGTATAATCTTAATAAATAAAACTAAAAATAACAATAACAATCACTACCAGTTCAATAAATATATAGAACTGATAAGCGCTAATCTAATTTTCAAGCGTTAAAGTGAGTTAACGTCGACATGATTTATTTGCTGATCAGACGACACCGTCAAAGATTACCGCCAAAACACATGCACACACAATTTATAAGAATGTAAGTACTTAGCAACGTAAGATTAAATGATTTATATTATCTTGGAACTGATTCGTTCAACGACATATCAGGTTTACGTATAGTTTGGGTTATCATTAGATCGACTGCAGCTTCCACGCCAAAAAGTAAGTACTTTACTCTAAATTGGGTCAACTACTTTTGGAGGTCTTTGACAAACTTCTTCGCTTACTGGAGTGCTTATGATATCCATCCGTATATGTTTCAAGGCGCCTCTGAGCGTTTAAGGAATTTTAATAGACCGACAAATGTTCTGGACTAGAAATTTGTCTAAAACTTTAATCAAACTTCAGTCTGCATTATTATTTTTATAAATAAAAAATTCTGGCAGGTATCTCCGAAACGTCTTAAGGTTAAAAAATCAAAATTTTCGACAATTTTTCTATACCACTTCAAGGAGTTATTTCTCGCTTAACATGCTTCTTTCATTAAAATATGTTTTTCAATATTAACTTTTTTATAACGAATGCTTTGTACCTTCATTAAATGAAAAAAAACCACATTTAAAGATGGAACATTTTTCAACTTGGTTCTAAGTAATTGCGATTACTAGTGTTGGAAATTTTCGGTTTTATAACTGAGCAATTGGTTGAAGCATCAGTATATGCTTACATTAATTTTTACGCCTCGACATTATTCGACAAGTGGAGGAGTCTATGTACCAGCTTTA